CTATACCATACTATACTATACTGTACAGTACAAAACTATACTATACCATACCATATTCTATACTCTACTCTACTGTACTGTGCTCTACTGTACTATACTATATACGATACTATATACTATATATATTACACTGTATACTGTATACAAATCTACTGTACTATGCTATACTCTAGTGTGCAGTATAATCAGATAGATAGAACATAGAACAAAATATAATATGAATACATAAATACATAACCCAACGAATGCGTTCACAAATTAAATGTTGGGTCGCCCTCTTCTGGGCGAAGTGAGGATGCGGCCCTTCCCCGCCCCCCCTCCCCCCCCCCCCCNNNGGTTTGGGGTTTAGGGTTTCGAGGGTGGAAGGGGTGGGGGGAGGGAGGGGGGAGGGGTCCGATATTCGGAGCTTCAGCTCTCGGATTGCACGTCTTACACCATTACACCAGACTGCTCTGCTGTGGAATGCAACTTTGCCTTATCGTGTACAGTGAGGGATCAACATGTCGATATTTACGTATGTATCGCACGTAAAAAGAGCAGAGCGCTTTGCATCTTTTGATGTTTAGTAAGGAAGCGTTCCCATCTCTAAATGGCAAAAGAAGCCTCTCCGTAGATCAGTGCTCAGAAGGCAGAGGAGAGCTGCTCCGTTTTCCACCCGTGGGCAGAAACGAAAGAGCTCCTGAAGTGGATACTCAAAAATACAGTAGCGTAAGATAGATCATTTTGTGAGTATAAAATGTGAGAGATGTACTCTCTTAGGCGATGGGCGAGGCACCGTAGTTTAAAAATACTTGTCTTAATACTGATCTTAGGCTTGACAAGCTCTCGATGTTAACCACATCTCGTACAACAGCAACTACTACAAGCAATAATACCGCTATTGGTAATGCTGCAATTACTGATACTGTTATTATTGCTATGTGTTGATAACTTTTTTTCTTAAATTTCCCCTGAGGCCTGAAATGCAGAAACACTGGCAGAACAGTCTTTACAAAAAATCTAAGATCCTGGCATCTCCAGAGCCATCAATGCTCAGTATTGATATCTATGGAGAGATTAGATCCCTGCTGGATCATGGGGGTGGTGTACATATGTACATGCAGACCTGTGCATATGCAGGTGCATCACCGTCTTCATACACACATAGCACTGTGTCACTATTCTTAGTGTATCAACCGACTGAAACATGTCCGCTACCACAGAAGATTTGGGGCAAGACGAGTTCCGGGCAAAAACGGGACCGCAAGATCACAGAACCAGGCCGGAGGCCCGCAAGCGCAAGAAGACAAAGAGGATCACCTCCAACGAATGCCAGTCAGAAAGTGGAATTGGCTGGAGCTTGGCATGCGTCAGTCTGCATCCTTTCCTGGCCGGAAATGTCTGGCCTATGGGCGCTCGATTACTGTGCGAGGATAGAGTATCATTCCTGAGCCTCGACAGTTCGAACATACCCTGCCCAGCAACTCGAGTGGTCAGACAATCTGACCTTCTTGTGAGCATGCAAAGGCCGTGCCATTCATTGACGCTTCTCCTTCAGGTCCTTCAGGTGCAAAGCACTCTGAGGGCCGCATGTTCAGCAACAGGAGCAGAGCAATCAATGCAGGTAAGTTCGTGCATCACAGTGTTTCCAGTGTTTGGAAGCACTTGTCGTCTTTGTGGTCTCCTTGACCCAATTGGTTTGAGGTGCTGCTTCTCCGCGAAACAGAAGGCAGACGAGGAAGTGAATAAATCCCAGCATGGTTGCAGGTGATGCTGTGTTTGAGACCGACATGCTAGTAGCCGGAGGTTCAAAGGCTTGTGCAGCGTCGGAACAGAACTTGAGACTCTCGAGTCGGAGTGACGAGCATTCGTGGGAGGATCATGTCTAGGGCCTGAGAAATTACGTGAATGTCTGACTGAGCTCCAGCAGGACGAGACCACCACCGACGGATTCGTGACAGAGCGTCGCGAAACCTGGACCGGAACATAATTGTTTGAGTTCGGCCTTTTCCAGGTCGGAGTCGAATGCCAGTAGGTGCGAGCGGACCTTTCAGGTCAGGGTACAGTAGTCTCTCAAGTGGTGCCCTGCGAGAAAGCGAAGCAACCTGTACTATCTTTGCTGCAACCTGCAGCTCAGTTTAATTCTGTTCCGCCGCACTCAGGATGAGATCCAGCCACCTTCTTAGCGTCTCCAAGAAGAAGTTCCAGAAGCGTTGCCTGGTTAGCATTTTGAGCCTGGCCTTCTCACCGAGGCTGAGCAAGCCGGCTATTCCCAGCGCGTCCAGTGAGGCGAAGAAGGATCGGTCCTTAGACGTCAGAGCCGTCAGAGAGCCTGGTGCAATCCGGTGCACTTCGCCTCCCGTGCCTTCCTAAGGCACCATCTTCCCCTCGGCCTCGGCAACCGCTCGGACCTAATGTCACTGAGCTGCTCGGAGAAGAAGCCCTGCTCTGCCAAGGGGCCACGAGCTGGCCAGCGGCCAACACGAGGCTGTAGATGCCGATTCAGGGCAAGAAAAGAGCGTGATGCATGTTGACAAGGCCATATGTGGCCACTTTCGACAGAATTCCCAGTCCTGTTGGATCCCGTTGAACAGGCACAATCGTCTCC